CGCTAAAATATTAATTTTAACCCCCCCCCCCCCCCCCCGAATCAAACAATATGTTGTTGATTCGTGGTCAGGCATCTAGGATTAATACATATACATAGAGGTTAAAGTTGTGTTTAAACTTTTACCTGAAGTCGTCCTCCTCCTTCGAGGTTACGGAAGCTTTATGTTTATATTCCTTTTCTCTCTTCTCTTTTCTAAATAAAATAATTAAGTGACAAACTCCAATATTTTATCTTAATAAATATGGGTCAGTAGTAAGGATATTAAATAAATTATTGACTTGGCTCATTAACCACCAATTAAATAAATTATTTTATATTACCCATCAATTAAATAATGATAGTTAATAAATGGTCCAAAATATTCATTTAGAATATATCGAAAAAGTCTTTTATGAAAGAAAAAAGTCTAATGTTCAAAACGACTTAACGGGTAGTTACAATAACTTTATTGTTCAACCATCAATTCCACGGTCACTTCTACTCCACTAGAAAATGCATTTTATTATTTTAAGGAAAAAAAATCATAGTTCTATTTTAGTTGTTCTATAGAGCTTTATCTTCTTTCTAACCGTTGATTTTTTGTTTTTGTAAAATCATACATTAACAAGTACATTTTTTTATTGCATTTTCATCTTACATTTCTTCAATGTACTATAAATTGCTTACATGAATGATCTTCATTTCAACTACTATTCATCGCCTTCTTAATTTCGTCAATATTTTGAGGGGCAAAGAGAAGTAACGATAATCTTTTTCGAATTTATCGATCAAGCTCTATACAAATTGGATGAACTTCATACGTAAAGTTAAATTATTTCTACATATAAAAAAATTGATATCCTCTTTGGGACAAAAATTAAAATGTGTGTCACTTAAATTTGGAAGGAGAGTAAAATAGTTTCAAAAATATATTGTTAGATTAAGTAACACTTGGTTCTTCAAGCTATAAATAGCTCTATTTTTCATCCATCAATTCCACGACCACTTCTACTCCAAAAGAAATTTCCTTTTTTCTGTTTCAAGAAAAAAATAATTTAAAGTTCTATTTCAACTATTTTAAGGAGTTGTTCTTCTTTTTAACTATTGGTTTTTTGTTTGTGTAAAACATACATTAATCGGTACATTTTTTGTTACATTTTCATCCTACATTTCTTAAATTGTATCATCACTATATTATAACAAATAACTTACACGTGAATGATCGTCATTTCAACGGCTATTCATCGTGTTCTCAATTTCGTCAACATTTTGGGGTCAGAGAGAAGTCAAGACAACATTTCATGAATTCAACGATCAAGCTCTATACAAATTGGATGAACTTTGTAAATCATATGTACACTTACAAAATAAAAAGATTCCCAAGTCTTTGTAGTCATAATTCAACTTCTTGCCCCTTTACACACTAAGGAGAAAAAACATGTTGTCGTGATCCTAGACAATATAACTATTTACCAATTTCTTGTCCGAAATATAAATTTGCATCGTGCATAAGAGGTGATTAGTATTTAGTACTATAGTACTATTACTTCTGAATGACAAAACAACCAAGTACTTTTTCCTAAATGTCTTGATGTGACATCTAATATGGACCCCACATTTTCAATCACATTTTTTGTTGAATGCTTTGGATATAGAGTAATAATTAGTCTATTTAATAGGAATTTACACTTCATATACTTTGTCTCCTTGTTTATGTGCATTTTGATGAGATTTACATTCATGTGGGGTTGGTAGTTTCTCTCCTACTCTATTCATGCTAGCTTGAGTTTCATTCAAAGACGAATGTCCCCAAGGGGAAAATATTGTAATACCTCGAAAATTGGAAATTCAAAATGAAAAGGAAAGGTTTAAGTTTTGGCTACTACTTCAGATCCACGAGACCCATCTATGATTCGTAGAAGCATATACGGGTCATCCATGGCATTCATAGGGACTCAGTTGAATTACATGATTTATTATTGATTTCATGTGGACCCATACATTATACGTGCTCATGACTATGGATTTATGAAAGAAATTCATGAACTTATGAATGATGATATATGAATGTTATGCATGTCTTATGAAAATGTTGTTTAATGAACTAAGGATGCTTTCGAGATAAAGATAAATGAATTGTGAAAGGTTTTCTCACATTGTATGAAATCATGATTGTGAAAGGTTTTCTCGCGTATGTATGAGGCAATATTTAAAGGAGCTACTCTTATACGACTTTATGATTTGGATTGGTATTATGATTATTGTCCTTCCTAATGTTATGCTTTGATAATTGACTTTATCTATTTTGTTGGGATTTAACTTAGCACCAAGAGGACTTTGAGGTGGAGGCTCAAATAGGATAGCCTCTAGTAGCTATCTCTAGTTCCAAACTACGTGTCACCGTAGGATTATCTTAAATGACCTAGCTAGTAGATCCATATAGAATTAATGATATGATACAGAGCTCTACCTTGGCAAGTAGACTCTCCCTTTTCGGTGTGAGAGTTACACCAGATTCTATGTTATAGCTCACATGATCTATTATCGATTAAAGCTAAATATCCCACAAAAGAAAAATGATTTTCCTTAAAGCTTCCATGATGTATTTAGCTTTGACCTTGTCTCATGATTTTGATAAATTTTCTTTTAAGCTTTTAAATGATATCATGTCTACATTTATGCATATTTCCCCATAATGCATACTTGTGCATATATTGTCTTAAAATATAGGGTCTGATGCTTCTCCTCCCGCTCGTGGCTAGATTCGGATTGCTTATAGAGATTGGATTGGTGAGTCCTCAAACTCAGAGGGAAAAGCCATGAAAACTTTTTATTACTTTTATTTGTTATTCTTGAGACTTTGTAAGTGGTGTATGTGTTACGTCCTAGCCACTCTTGTGTTGTTTAGAATGGCTTGTCAAGGAAAAGTTATGATTCCGGCCGCATTTATGTTCAAGCTCTCCTTTATGATATGAGACGTCTTTGTTAAACTCTCTTATTGTGTTGTATGCATGTCAAGTGGCTTGTGTAGGGCCTGTCGGGTTCTAGACGCCATGTCACGTCTAGGGTATAGTGATATACTTCTCTCTGCGTTCTTCTAGTCAGAGGCTCAATCTGGCAAAATTTGAAGTCATCTTCTCAAACAACTGGACCCCCGAGAATAAAACCACATTGCTCAACATTAGGACGAGCATGTCCTTTGGGAGGTACTTGGGGTTTAAATTTAAAGTACTATAAAAACTATATTCCCCGAGAATTACCAATTCATTATTGACAATACTAAGCTCAACGGATGGAAAGCCAAATTCCTTAGCATGACAGGAAGAACTGTGCTAGCGAAAGCCTCTCTGGAAGTATCCCTTCCCATGTCATGTAATACCATCAGTAGAATCCAAAGGAACTTCAACCTCTGAAAAAAGACTTCACCTCATTGGATAGGATACCATCACTAGTCTTACAAAAAAGTCAGGTTAAAAATAGCATGAAGTACTTACAAAAAACCCCAAGCACTTTGGACAAACACTGCCACAAGAGGAAGCCTACCTATATATATGTTGTATCAAGGTTTTGGAAAGGCATTAGAAAGGGATGGGATATATGCTTGAAAGGCTCGAGATGGGTAGTTAACAAAGTGAATTTTCTTTAGGACAATTGGATCCCAAATTTTGGGTGCATTACGCAGACAAAACCTTAACATTAGAATAGACTATGGACTCTTCATGAAGATCTTCTCAATAAGGTCTTTATCTCAAAAGCTACAGAGAAGGAAGACAACCCTATTTGCAAGTTCAGTACAAATGGGGTTGAAAACGTCCATCACATCTTCTTTCAATGTCAGAGAGCAACAAGTCTATTGTTGTCATCGATTCAACAATATTGGTCAATGCTAAAAACTGGAAAAGCACCTAGGCGAGGCCATCAAGGGCAAGGAATTCAACAACGGGATCTCATGGGAAATGATCACCCCCCCCCCGCTTTTTGCCTTTGGGGACTTTGGATTTAACAGAAATGACAACCTTTTCAACGATAAGAACCACCACGTCCAAATAGATCACATCACTGAAATCAATCTCATCGTGGCCAAAAGCAATAGGACCAAAACCACTAGAATGGTTGTCCAAGTCAAATGGATCTTTCCAATATCCCAAGGTATGCTAAAGCTCAATTAATGACCGAGAGAGAAAGGGGTATATGAAGGGTATTTAGTAGGTGAAAGGATTTATCTATTAGAATTGATAACGTATGGCTATTAGAAATTCCACCAGTATATGTGCTAGAGGCAGATACATTAGGAACTAGTTTTGCTTGGAGAATTCCTATCTCTATTATGAACAATAATGGCCTTAAGTATTATTGTACCTGAACAAAGGCAAAGTCTAAATCCTGCATTAGCTTGATTTATATATATATATATATAAAATATCCTTCTTATTAAGGTTGTAATTCAAAATCAAGTTTCCCAATTTTATTCGTTTGATTATTCCATACGATTCTCCTAATTGTTAAGAACCCAAGGATAAATATGAAGAATTCACTTACATGGACTAGAGGGAGTAATAAACTGAAGAATCAAGGGTAAATAATTGCTTTATGGAAAGATAGATTGCAACGAAAAGTCTGAGGGGTAATTCCAGGAAAGTGTCAGAGGATCCAGAATTTTAGGAAGCGACTGACTAGGCTAGACTGCTGATCTTCTCCGAAAAGAATAGTAGCGACGCTCTTAGCCTGAGCTAAGCTGTAAACTTCTATTAAACATCAAAATTATTGCCACTATGGCCGGCAAGGAGGATAACGGTAAGCATGACCAAAATTATTTTAATCGAGTTTCGTATGATCTATCATCAAGCTACAAGAAATAATAGCAATTAGCAGGCAATTGTTTGAAGTACACTACGAATTTAGTTTCCAGAAAGCTAAATATATTAAAACTAATTCAAAATGTCACTAGCGTAACCACCTGGTAATTTACATGGGTACATAAAAAGTTCATGGTTTTAACAGTTTGATTGTGCTTTAACTTTACAGGGGCATACTACAATTGAGTAAACGATGGCGACAAAGAACACAAGTATTTACAAAGAGGTCAAACATACAAGCAATCTCTGGCACATTTTCCTTACATCCAATGGAAGATCTGAAGAGCATATATCTTGAAGCAATGTTCTGGCATCCACAAGCCCACCAGAAATTTTCTGTAAGACTGCCTCTTCACTTGCCATTAAAGATGCTAGTAACTTGGCACCAGCAATCCTCTCCTGGTCGGAATTAAACAAAAACACATTAACCAAGAGTATGAAATTAATTCTCACAACATGCTTCCAAATAATACCAGGATTCACTTTTTTATAGGCAATAGAAGCAGCAGGCAGTTCCTCATGATGAGACCAAATGAAAAAAACGAGCAGCAGCATGCACAATAATGATGAGGAACAAGGAAACCAGCGAGAGTTACGCGCAATGGCGAAAGTTAGCAGATAACAGCAAGTGCTGCCCCTTTTTTACCACATCAATAAAATTTGATAGTGACAGGTTTCGGTTCCATAGGGTGATGCAATGGGATGAAGGCACTAGATGGAGGCTGACCAAACACACTACCCCCCACAAAAGCACCAAGACTGTTTGTGGTCAAGGAGAGAGCCTTAAACAGTGCCAGAAGATTAGATGCTTTATACAAACTTGACCCTCCAATTCCAAGGAAGAGCATATATTTCAAAAGTAAAGCCTGTTTTATTTTAGAAAGGGATACATAATTTAATAATTGTGAGTAGTAAATTCAATCTGAAACAATTCAGGAGACGAAATACTTGATGCCCATTCTAACACAAGAATAATATTTTCATGCAAGTTGGAGCCTAATGCTTCAATAAAGCTTCCATGTTACATGGAATTTATGCCATCGGTCACTACATGGAGGTACTTGTGCATGTGGAAGCACCATATAGAAAGTAGGCCTTTGTAAGCATAAGGTAAGAGGGATATAGTGGTTCAAGTACATAGAGAAATGATTAAAAGCACAGCCACAAGTTCAAGATTAAACAAGGATAATTATAAAGCAGTGACTTTCAAAATACCTTCTCCGATCCTTCTCTAAGCGACTTTATGGACACCTTGAGAAGATCGGAAGAGTAAGGAAGAACTAGAGACTTTAGATGGTACACCATTGAGAAAAATACTTGGATACATGCAGACCTCACTTCTGAATTTGCAATTTCCTGGAAAAATTGCAAGGATTAGAAACCAATTACATCTGCCACTATTAATCAAACAGTAGGTGATTACCACAAAAAGGTCGAATAATGATGATAACTAATGAAATGAAATAGGTGAAAAATACACAAGTGTAGAACACCTCGACAGAATGGAGGACACGAGGAAGAATTTTGGAAACAAATGGTTTCTTGCTAGCACAAGGAACCTTTTGACAAGCACTAATCAGCACATTTGCCATGCACAACCGAAAAGAGTGGTGGGCTTTTACCACCTCATTTCTACCCAACATAACAGAAATATCTTCACCACAAACCAAGTGGTGGATCACGTAACTACAGACTGAGCCTTTTGTGAGAGAATCGCCTGCATATGATCCACAACAGCCTCTTAGCAATCAAGAAGCAATAGGTTGTTTGCATAAACTTAAAAAAAGTTACCAACCTGAAGAGACGATGCTCTGCTCAAAACAAACCTCAATCGATATTGAGTTCTTGACAGCTTTTGTAGCTTGCAATTCAGTGCACAGCATCAATGCTAAACAGTCGATGCACCCATGTTGTGCCTTTGAAACTGAAGAAAAGAAAATTTAGCATGATGACAATTATTAATTAACATGAGAAGTAGTGTAGAAAAACATCAGTTACTTACTATCATCCCCATCTACCGAAGGCCATAATAAAATAGTCTCTGTTGCCTTGCAAATCCAGAACATGTCGGGATGCGCATATGCATCTGTGCCATTTACCTATGACCAGAATGTTTGATGGACTATTAGGATTAGGACCAGGAAGATAATATTATCTAGTTAACAAGAGAGAACCAAGACAAACTTGAAAGTTCAATGCACATATCAAAAACTATGTAACTGTCCTAAGAAAGATTATTACCAAGAGAGATGTGCAAATTGAAAATAGACAAGCTTTTATCTTCAACAAATCCTTCGCACTAGTGGCATTTTTCAATTGATAAGACATTATTGGAATGAGAACCTGCAGAATACAGAGGCAGCAAATGTTGATGTTAAATATTGCAGAATTGGCAGGGGGGACACAGACCATATGAGGACTTAGAACAGTTAGGGGTCGTTTGGTACAAAGATGAATAGTGCAGGGATTAGTAATGCAGGGTTTATTTTTACCAAGTGTTTGGTTCATTGTTTCCCAACTCATCTTATGCTTGGATTGAAACTTTATAAAAAACTTCTTTCCAATTATACCCTTGAATTATTATGTAATTGAGTTAAGGTAAACAATTGCTGGACAATTTTATTTTTTATGGCCTTCTAACTAGCTATGAGAAGAATAATTTTGTTGTCATGTTTGCCTCTTTTTTTCACTTAAATTATATGAGGATAAATAATTGTCATCTTAGTATTGATTACTTACAAAATGTCAATTTTCAATTAAAACAAAAGATAAACTATCAACTTTTAAAATTGAAAAGACGGCAAACAATAGTAAAATTGAATAAATCATCTATTAAAACTGTTAGGTTCTCCATACTTGTAAATGGAGAACCTGTGGGTTTTTTTCCTTCAGAGAGGGGTCTTAGACAAGGTGACCCTCTCTCCCCTTTCCTATTCATCATTGCCATGGAGGGTTTCAACAGTATGATGAGGATTGCAATTAGCAACAGGTGGATAAAGGGATTCAAGGTTAGCAGCAGAGCAGGAGTAGATATGGAAGTATGTCATCTGTTGTATGCAGATGATACTGTGATATTTTGTGAAGCTATAGCTGAAAAAATTTGCTATATCAGGATGATACTAATTGTTTTTGAAGCCATTTCTGGTTTAAGCGTTAACTGGAGGAAAAGTAACCTCTTTCCTATTAAAGAAGTGGTGCAGATGGAGGAACTAGCTGGTATCTTGGGGTGTAAGGTAGACAAATTACCAACAGTCTATCTAGGCATGCCATTAGGCAACAAACACAAAGAATTGATTATCTGGGATAGGATTTTGGAAAAGACGGAAAAGAAGTTGGCAAACTGGAAGACGCAATACTTGTCCCTTGGAGGCAGGTTCACTTTGATAAATACAGTTCTGGACTCGCTTCCCACATATGTGATGTCCCTATTCCCTATTCCAATAAGTGTGGTCAAGAAGTTGGACCGATTAAGAAGAAATTTTCTTTGGTTTGGGAACAAGGAGGGAAAGGGGTATCATTTGGTAGAATGGAAGACTGCACAATTACACAAGGAGGCTGGTGGTTTAGGAGTCAGGAATCTGAAACTGCAGAATGATTGCTTGCTCATGAAATGGTTATGGAGATTAAATGGAAATGATCATGCTCTATGAAAGGAGGTAATCCTGAATAAGTATGGCCAGACAGAGCAACGGTGTACCAATGCAGTATCAACCACCTACGAAACATCGGTATGGAGATCTATAAGGAATCTTTGGCCTAGACTAGTAAAGAATTCATGTTATGAGGTGGGTGCTGGGAACAAAATACTATTTTGGAAGGACCTATGGATTGGACAAGAAGTTTTAATGCAAGTTTTCCCTGATCTGGCCAATATATGCACTAACCTTGAGGTTACAGTGGCTGATAGCTGGTCCCCACAGGGATGGAACTTCTTCTTCAGGAGGCATCTTAATGACTGGGAAGTAGGCAGGTTTGTGGAGCTATTGCAGATGATTGATGGTTTCAAAGGCACTACTGTAGAGGATGACACTTTTAGATGGAAACATGATAAGGATGGCAAGTTCTCTGTAGGTAGAATTTATAGGAAAGAGGTATCCTGGATGCCTGAAAACAAAATAGGCCCTTGGAAGCATGTATGGAAAAGTATGGCTCCTACTAAGGTCAAGTGCTTTGCTTGGTTAGTAATCAGGAAAGCTTGCCTCACTCATGAGATCCTGCAGGAAAAGGGATTGCCAATTGTGTCCAGATGCATGTTATGTAGTGACACTAGAGAGACAACTAATCATCTGTTCCTCCATTGTAAAGTCACATCTCAGCTTTGGACTATGTTTCTCAGTTTAACAGAGACAAAATGGTCAATGCCAGAGCACACAGCAGACTTGTTAAGTTGCTGGATTAGGAGAGGGGGAAGCAAGACACAGAAGAAGTGGTGGAGAATAATCCCACACTGTATCTGGTGGACTATCTGGAGGGAGAGGAATGGAAGAAACTTTGAAGATAGATTCAACAACATTCAGAAAATCAAAGAGAGCTGCATAGCAACTTTCTACTTTTGGTGTAAAGAACATTGTATAGAAAATGCTGAACAATTAGTAGATCTTTTAGGATTACTGTAATTAGTTTCTCGTTCTAGCTTGTTACTACCTTTTTGGAGGTCTCCAGCATACCTTAATGCTGAGGAATACAACATTACCAGTTTCAAAAAACAAATTGCAAGTTGTAGTTTTAATATGTATGCAATTTTATAAATTGTTCAAAATACAAATAATTAGAAAACCACACAAATATTTATATACATTCAATTAAGATCACAAACGTCATGTGGTGATATATTTGCCCTTTTAATTAGTTAATGTTAAACAACTCACATTTTAAATATTGTATCAATTTGTATTGGACTTATTTAGTGACAAACAACTTTCTCTAAATAATTTGTAAGCTAATCTATTTAAATAAATTTACTGGTACAAATATAAACCATAATCAAGAAAATAAACAAAATAATTAAAATGATTTGAGGGATATTTTTGTCTTTACATAGACTTATCCCATGGTATTATATCCTATGTATTACTAATCCCTCCAAATGGAAGGCCAATAATACCATGTAGGAGGAATAACTAATCCATGTAGTTATACATAAGCCCAAATCCCTACCAAACGCAGTACTAAATAATAATACCATACATAATACCCCTTAATGCATACAACCAACACTTAAGGCAGCGACAATCTTCCTGCTATAGCCATATAAAAGTTATGATGTTATGCAACATTACCTCTAACCAACAAAAAGAGTATAATAAAACTACAGAGCATTCAGATCAGAACCACAAATATCCTCTAGGAAAGTTGTTGCAGCCACTGAACCTCCAAACAGAAATAACAACCTATCAGACTATGTAATTTGTGTATCAAGTATTGACATTTTCTTGCCCTCTTTGAACTTTGTACCCAATCTATCCTCTCCCTAATTTCCCATTGTATTTGTGCTATAGCAAAATTTGTATTTACAAATGAATTTCTAAGTAGTCTCCAGTTCCTAGCTTGCCAGGTACAGTAGATCATTGTACCCCATATAGCAGCCACTACCTCAAACTTTTTCCACTTCCTGCTCTTATTCCATTGCAGACTTTGTGTTGCATCTGTCTTCAGCATATGCATACCAGCCAAGTCTCCAAGGCATTTCTAATTTCTAACTTCAGAGATCCAACTACAATCAGCGAACAGGTGAGAATGTGTTTCCATAGCATCTTCATCACAAAAGCAGCATTTACATCTACAATTGGATGTGCAGTCTGTGTAGCCTTTCCTCGGTCAATAACTTATCTTGATATGCTAACCACACTATAACTCTCTCTCTCTGTATAGGCAACATCACTGAGCTCCACACCAGATCAACCTCCTTCAATTTAGTGAGAACTACCTGCATAACTAAGTAACTAATAGGCACTGAATAATTCCCGTTAGATCGGAATGTATTTTCCACAGTAGTACCAACTAAGCCTCAGCTCAATCATAGAGTTCAATTTCTTCCAGTATCAAGTATCAACTGCAATCCTGTGGTGGTTTATGGTCCGAAATATCTCTAGTAACTTTCATAGAGACCTCATTTACCTATTTACCCATAAAACGTTTTTCTTACCGTCCAGTTGCCATAATAGTTTTCCCACTGAAGATATGTTCCACTTCCTGCGGAATTTTGATGTTAAGTCACCCATAATTTTTGGGGGACACAGACCTGTCCCATGAGACCAATGCCAGTTTCCTCCTTTCCTCGGAGCTTCCCCTTATGAAGTCTTTAGATTTTTGTCCACTTCTTTTAGCACACTCTGGGGAAAGATAAACTCAGCACCTCAATGCTGTATAATTTTAACCCTTACAGTGTGTGCCAACTATTGGCATCTCATACTTGTCAAAAATGCTTCAATGAGTCAAAGCTAGTTTTTCCACATTCAACAATTTAAGCGGCCAAAGTAACTTTGAAGAAAGAACAAACACGTAAAGCTCACACTCTAGAGGTGTAACAGTATGCAGCATTTCTAGGTAATTTAGTCCCCCTATGCATCTGCCATATATATGGGTTAAACAAGGGGTAAAATCACATACCTTAGGGTGAATTCTCCCACACAGCTCGGCTGCAAGTCTACGAACATCTTCAAATTCAAACTTGCTCAATGCCCTGAAACAAAGAGCATAATGGAGTAATCAATGATGAAATTTTATAACATGGTAATTCACAAACCAGAAAATTAACTTCTGGAGGAACCTGTTGATAAGAAGTCCTGCCACACATTCTGTGCTTTGAGTTCTCAAGCATTCATCATCTGGAGGTAATTTCAGTTAAACTAGTGGATTTTGGGGAGATCTTTTATTTTATTTTATTTGGGAAGGGTTGGGGGGGGGGGGGGGGGAGGTTGTTTGCCAGTAATGAGGGTGGGCTATCAAAATGGATTAGGGTTAGAATATAACAGAACAGGTTACAACTAAAAGCAACAGAGTGTACCATGTGCAAGTTTGGTTGGAAGTTCATCATACAAAGCAGATGAGTTAAGATCATTGAATACTTGCAATGGAAGCAACCTCACTACAAGCAATGGGCAGAGACGTTTAAAAAGATCGATCTGTCCTTCTGGAGCATCATAGTTCGGATACACACCCTCATCAGGACTGCTGGACATAGAGTCAAAATGATCAACTCTACATCAAAATGCTTAGAAAATAAAATTCCAAAGAATATAAACTTATTTATTATTGCAGTGAGTATTCTAGTCCTACTCCAAATAAATAACTTGCATGCTCGCTGCACAGTCTACAAACTTGGTAAGCAAATGAAACAAAACTGTAAGAGGAAACTGGCATTTCATTCAACATTAAGCAAGTGCAGATAAGGCTTACATTAAGAAGTTATACCATATCCCCCTTGGTTAAACAAAAGCCATATACACAGAACACTGCACAACGTACTTTCACTAGCTAACAATCCAAAATCTACATTAAGGAATCAACTTCATCTATGTCTCAGAATAAGCTTCTAGCACTTAGAAGCTAAAGATTTTATAGACAATCCTATTAATTAACATCAATTACACTTTATACATGTAAACATTATACATGTATTCATATGATTATTTAAGATTACTACCCCCACACTCCTTCACAAGTTATCCAAATTCGATATTACACAAATAGAAACTTCCTTAATTATTTTGGAATAAAATCTATATGGAGATAATATCGGGAAGTTCCAAAAAATACGGAAAAGTTTATTTATAAGTCTTAGACAACTTGAAAGGGAAGTACAGGTAGTAACTTTTCTTTTCCACTATTGTAGTAATTATTGTATGTGTTAAAAGTACGGTACTATGTACTAACATACTGTATTCCTGTATCTGTGACTCTTCTACAACCAAATTACTGAACAATCACACTCGTCGGTCAAAATCAAGAATTACTATTGTCCACATAAAAAAAAAACAACTACTACGCATCAATCCCAAACTACTTGGATTTGTTCAAGTAACAATTTTAGAAGAAGCACTCTTATATGTGAGAAGACAAGAGTTTGAGAGAGAACTCTGCTTAATTATTCCCACAAACTATTGGGCTTTAAATAGTTAAGTATACTTGTCCTAAAAAGGAAAGGAAATCAATCCAAATCAATACTTAATCAATATAAATCAATACCCAATTTAAATAGGAGTAAATCTAAGAGTAAATCAAGCTACCTACTATATTAACATATATGTTATAGAATATTCCTAGGATTCTAACACTCCCCTTCAAGTTGGTGCATACAAATTATATGTACCAAGCTTGTTACATATATAACTTGTTTTGGGACTGGCTAAGGACTTGCTGAATACCTCTGCAAGTTGATCACTTGACCACACGAACCTAGTGATGATGTCTATTAAGAGTACCTTTTCTCTGACAAAATAACAATCAATCTCTATGTGTTTGGTCCTTCCGTGACATACTGGATTCGCTACAATGTGAAGTGCAGCTTCACTATCGCACACAAGTTCCATTCCTTTAGTATCTCCAAATTTCAACTCTTTCAGTAGTTGCTTGATCCATATGAGTTCACATGTTGCCACTGCCATAGCCCAATTTTCTGCTTCTGCACTAGATCTAGCAACCACATTTTGTTTCTTACTTTCCCAAGACACCAAATTTCCCCCAACTAGAACACTATCCAAAAGCAGATCGTCTATCAAGGGTGACCCTGCCCAGTCTGCATCTAATATCCAACAATTTTCACATGTCCTCGATCTTCTTAAAGTATTCATTTCCTTGGAGCACATTTTATGTATCGAAGAATGTGAATAACTACATTCCAATAACTGTTACAAGGAGAATTCAAGAACTAACTTCCAACACTAACCGGGAAGGTAATATCAGGTCAAATCACTGCAAGATAATTCAACTTTCCTACTAGCCTTCTATATCTTCCTGGATCGCTAAGAGGCTCCCCCTGACCTGGTAGGAGCTAGGAGCTTAACAGTTGAATCCATTGGAGAATTAATAGTCCTACAATCTGTCATCCCACTTCAAGAATATCACGTGCATACTTCCTTTATGTGGTGGACTGTGAGATACAAGCAACAAAATTAACCAGATTACCAATCTAGGCAACGGAAGCTATTGATGAAGATGTCTGCTTACTCGCCTGATACTGAAGAAAATCATTGTATTCTACCTCAGACAAAGAGAATGATTGATTACTGGAGCCCACTGATTTAGTGCTAAACATATCGGATCCGAGAGACATGTAACAAATCTATCTGTGTCCAAAAATAAAGTAGATTCTAGAAAAAAAAATCTAAACAACAGATCTGGAAAACTGCTGGAGGAGTGGCCAAAAAAATCACACGTGAGGATTCCGATCGTAATGGTGGTACTTATATATGCACAATACCCCTAGAGAGTGTCAGAATCGCAGAACATTGGAGGTTTTGCTGAAAAATGCTCAGCAATTTTGTTTTGTTATTTTACTCCTAATTTCTCACTAAAGAAAGCTCTGATACAATGTGAGAAGATAAGAGTTTGAGAGAGAACTCTACCTGATTATTCCCACAAGCTAGTGCGGTTTAAATAGCTAAGTATACATGTCCTAAAAAGGAAAGAAAATCAATGCAAATCAATACCTAATCAATATAAATCAATACCTAATTAAAAATAGGAGTAAATTTAAGAGTAAATCAAGTTACCTACTATGTTACACATATGCTATCTAACAGGCTACATATGATATGGTAGATGATCATAATCTACATTAATAAGGTAAATAAGTATTCTATAATATCCTAAGGTATCCTATAATATATAATATTGAACAACAACAACAACATACAGTATAGTCCCACAAGTGGGGTTCGGAGAGGGTAGAGTGAACACAAACTTTACCCATACCTTTACAGGTAAAGAGGTTGTTTTCGATAGACCCTTGGCTCAAAGAAAGAAAAAACACAACATATATGAAGACATTCAACAAGTAACAATCGAAAACAAAGAGTGAGAAATATGGAAAATAGTAAAATAATAAAAATACTGAAAATAATATTAATACTACTAGCCGAAGAGACAAGACGCGAGAGCATTTCCGACTAGCCTTCTAGAATCCTCGACCTACACATGCTCCTATCAAGGGTCATGCCTTTGGTAAGTTGAACGTTGATCACCTCTACTCAATACTCGTTCGTCGTACATCTACCTCTCTTCAGTCCCTCCAATGACAACCTCTCACACCTCCTCATTGGAGAATGGAGAGTCTATCATCTCCTCTTGACATGTCCAAACCATCTCAGTCTAGCCTCCCACATCTTGTCAACCATGAAGGTCACTTCCACCTAAGTTTGAGTATCTTCATTTCTGACCATATATATCCTAGTAAGCCCACACATTCATCTCAACATCCTCATTTCCACAACTTCCATCTTCTAGACATGAGAGTTCATTGACTGGTCAATACTCAACGCTCTACAACAAAGCCGGTCTAACTACTATTTGTAGAACTTACCAACTTACCTTTTGGTCTTAGTGGCACCTTCTTATCACATAAGACACCGGATATCAACAGACCTTCATCTCAACCACCCCGCACCAATGCGATGTGTGACATTCTCGTCAATCTCCCTATTGCCTTAGATAATTGCCCCGAAGTACTTGAAACCCTTAAAGGATGACTCGAGAATCCAACCTCACTTCCACATCAGCTACATGAGGCACATTACTGAACTTGCACTCCACATACTCTGTCTTACGGTGCTCAACCTAAAACCTTTAGACTCCAAGGTCTGTCTCCACACCTCTAGCTTGTCGTTAACTCTGCGACACGTCTCGTCAATCCATACAATGTCATCGGCAAATAATATGCACCAAGGTACCTCCCTTATTATGTGTCGTGTCAGAACATCCATCACCAAAGAAAATAAAAACAGGCTAAGAGTTGATCCCTAATGCAACTCCATCACAACTTGAAAGTGACCTGAGTCTCCTCCAATGTCGTCACCTAGCCCGGGTCTTAGCTCCATCATACAAACCTTAATAGCCCTAATGTACATGATTGGAACACATCTAGTCTCCAAACATCTCCATAGAACCTCTCTCATAACTTTGTCGTACGCTTTTTCTAGGTCAATAAACACCATATACAAGTCCATCTTCCTTTCCCTGTAGTGAACCACCTAAACTTATTAAAGTACAATGAATCTACGCACATAATCTCCTCCTATTCTACCACTTAGAAAAGAACTCACCCAGACCAAGGAAATGCTTATAACAGATAGTTTCTTCCTAATTATAGCAGTAGGAAAGATCAATAGAATCACTCACTCCTTCTGCCTTCGTGAGTAAGAAATAATCCTTTGAAAAACAAAATCTGTTGCACTTGCCAGGTGCTCGCTTATGGAACTTAGGAACCTGACTATTACTGCATTTGATGGCTCAGCAAAAAGCTTGTCAATCAATGGTCCAATCATCACCTTCCAATCTTCAACCTACAATAGGCTCAAATTAGGCATGTCCAAGTGATATGTGAAGAAGGGCAATATACTAAGCAAGCAGTACATTTGTATCACTGAATAGCAAATATAGTCTAATGATAACACCATATGCTAAGCTATAACATCCATCCTAGTTGATGTCTTGCTGCAAACTTTAGCCTTGTGCACATTGTACAAAGAGTACAAGGAAAACAAGAAATTGCTGGACAAGCAATGATCAAGTCAATTGTCATATTTCTTTCATGGTTTTAGTGCAAGTAAAGAGTACTGGTGACAGCATATGACAGATTTCAAGTGGGAGATATGTTACATCAACCAAGACTGATAAATGATCAAGCAACAAAAGCAAATTCAAAGAAGTTTGCCCACAACAATAAGAACAGAAGCAGTTGTCTTGGAGTCACTAATGACTGCATATAGAGAATCAATCAAACGACATGAGGTGAGTCAATTAAGCAAAGTGAATAAAACTCTAACTAACCATTTTCGACCACTCAGGAAGCAGCTTCAGCACTCTATCAATATCAGTCTTTTTTCCTGAAGAGAAGCAAAAATGAATCAAGGTGCTTTTCAGTAGTTATCTAATGGTTAGTGTTTTCCGGAAAAAAAAACACAGTTGATGGAAAAGAAGAGGATTGCACATAGAGGATAAAATGTAATTACAATGAAGGAAAACACTATCTACCTAGAGCCTCCCAATTGCACTTTACATGTAAAAGTGATGCACACAACAGCCCATAATCATTGACTGCAAAAATACTCGAGAAAACACCCGTCCGAGGCAAGTTATTTTGGTAATGATTTAGTCAGTCAAATTTCTTATAATCTTTCTACTCAAAGTAATGATCACCTCAAATGAGCAAAATGTAGCACCAAGGCTTGCAACAAAACTTTGAATCTTTTAAGTACTTCACAGTATTCAAACTTCACTATACTGTGATGTTTATACACGAGTATAACCTTGGGGGATGCACTGGTATATAAAATCCCATCTGCAAAATGAACCCCCAAAAAGCACCTTTTTTGTTCAAAATACACAAATTACTTACATTTCCAAGACATTAAGGGAAGTATGAAAAACCATAAATATCAAGCAACCAGGAAAAAATAGCACCCAAAATAACAATTCTAAAATAGGAACTTTTCACTAAATGCACTCATTAACAAACCTGCCACCAAGAGCTTCAAGTTACTCTGTCACGATTACAAAGGTATCCATTACAAGAAGTTACTTTAAGCAGAGAACTTTTGAGGAGATAAATATCTTTTAGGCTAAAGGATACCAGCGAAAATGTGATTTCTCAATTAACTGAGTTCCTAGTTAGAATCAACTTTTTTCCTCATTTATTCTCTATGACTGTTACAGATGACCATTATCGGCCTGTGGGATTTAAATCTGATCTCAAATTTCATGATGTGGTGAACTATTTTAATATTCACTAGTTGTGCACTCCCAACCATCTCCAGAGCAGCTTAAAGGAAAAAACTGAACACACCTTCTACACCATCAGCAGCATCACATATGTCTGGGTTCTCTGAGGGTTTGCTGCACGGACAAATAAGAAGTTACATAAAGAGAGTGCAAAATTACTCCTGTTTCATGCTTCTCACTTAAACTTTTGTCATCAACAATCAAAAGTATTTCATTATACCTCAGACAGTCGAGCAGCAGGCATATAACATCAGGATTATGCTTGTAATTCTTCAATAACGCAATGAGTGTGCCACTTGCCAATGAGTGTACTCTTTCAAGTGGCGAGTAAATAAGACAAACTAGTGCAGGCAAAGTAAATGAAGGGTCTGCAGCAGTAAACAAAAAAGTCATTGAGTAGTCAGCCACTGTTGTTTGGATGCCAAACAGAAGAAGCCAGCTTAAATGCTTTCTCTATAGATGGTAGTTCCAAATTGAAATAAGGAAAAGAGAGACCTGGTCGGACATTAAACACAACAGAAGTGGGATATTCATATAAGACCAAGAAAATGAAGAAGAACTTTCCAAAAGTTATGCATCACAGTAAAGCATCTTCCATAACATACCATTGCACTACAAAGACAACTGAGCTAAAAGCCAAAAGGTGGAGCCTTACCTATTAAAGGAATCAAACTGGAAGCCTGTGTACTAATTACCATTTGTTCATCTTGGAGAAACTCCAATAGGTGGCATGATAAATGCTGCCTGCGAATTTTGCAAAGAGAAGTGCTAATTATTCTGTTAACTAAATTTGAGGAAAAAGTAAAAAGATATTCTGATATAGGAGCATTTTGCAAAAGGGACAGTAATTTTGGAATTTTTGAATAGTTGAATGTGCAGTGATTTATCTGTGCACCTACTGTTCCTTTAGGGGTTTCGTGTTGACCTCATATTCATGTACTATTCAATCAGGGAAAGCTTCCCACATCAGTTATTTCTTTCAGGAGAAAATCAGAATGATGATAATTTGAGTAAATATACCTTCTTTTGAATTACATATGGTCTATATATATATATATATATATATATAAGTTATTCAAAGGGGTTTATAATGGAGCTACTCTAATCAATTTTCCTAAGATTTTTACATGTTATTTGTGCCAACATATTGTAAGTACAGTTTCACACTTGTAAGTCCACATTAGGTCCATATATGAACTAAGAATCCGGCAATACACATGAGGACACGTATTAAGTTACATATTGCCCCACATCAGGAACATAAAGGCATTGAAAGGAGTTTATAATTGCACAGAGCTACTCCTCCCAATGCCTTGAAGCTTCCAATTAAATGTTCAGACCCGGAGAACCTTCTAAGAAGAAGGTAACAAAGTTGGGCATTGAGTATGTCGGTCCAATAGATAACTCTTCTACAAAAAGCTCTAAATAAAGTGGTCCTGTATGACTCAATCTAAGCACTTTAGCATACTCCCAACAGGTTGAAAAATCTCCCTATAAGGAGACTTCTAAATTCACCTCCCTAGTTGACTCATTGTTGCATCTCCTTTTTTTGAGCCAACACTTCGACCTAGCAGTTCAGTAAGGGTTCTCAGGTTCCTGATTTTAGCTGAGAAACTGAATATGCTAAAAGAAAAGTTAAAAGAGTGGAGTAGAAACAACAGGGGCAACTGGAAACAAAGAAAGGGTGACATTTTAAACTAGCTTTCAGCTTTGGAAGCAATCCAGGAACAAAGAGCTCTCGCAGATGATGAGGCAATGCAAAAATCAAACTTGGCTTTAGAGTTTGAAGAAGTTGCAAGAAATGAGGAGATAGCTTGGAGACAAAGATCAAGAATACAATGGTTGAAACAGGGAGACAAAAATACAAAATACTTCCATAGGATAGCTACAGCTCACAAAAGGGTAAACTCCATAGATAACTTGAAGGTGGATGATATGGAGGTGACAGATGCAGAGGAGATCAAAGAAGCTATTCAAAATTACTACAAGAACCTGTATAAGGAGGCAGAAGAGTGGAGGCCAGAATTAGTGTTACATGAAGCCACAAGGATATCTGCAGGAGAACAGGAGGAGCTACAAAGACAATTTGAAGAGGATGAAATCTTAGAAGGCATTAAATTGTGTGCTATGGAGAAGGCACCAGGGCCGGATGGATTCCCTATGTCCTTTTATTTGGCTTTCTGGGAACTTATAAAGAAGGACATCCTGAAGACTCTCCAATATTTTTATGAATATCAGAAGTTTGAGAAAAGCCTCAATGCAACATTCATAGCCTTGATCCCAAAGAAGGTTAGAGCTTCAGAGTTGAAAGATTTCAGACCTATAAGTCTCATAGGTGGAATATATAAGATTGTGACAAAGATACTGGCTGAAAGACTCAAGAAGGTGGTCAACAATTTAGTTAACAAGCATCAAATGGCATTTATAAAAGGAAGACAGATCATGGATGCAGCCCTAATTGCTAGTGAGTGTGTGGACTCAAGACTTAAAGGGGCAGAAACAGGTGTCATGTGTAAGCTAGACATAGAAAAAGCCTATGATCATGTCAACTGGAGATTCTTGTTAAATACTCTCAGTCAAATGGGCTTTGGTGAGAAATGGTTGAAATGGATTGACTTTTGCATTAAAACTGTCAAGTTCTCTGTTTCGGTGAATGGTGAACCTGTAGGTTTTTTTGGTTCTAAAAGGGGTCTTAGACAAGGTGACCCTCTGTCTCCTTTCCTGTTTATACTAGCAATGGAGGGATTTGATAGCATGATGAGGATAGCATTACAAAATAGATGGATTAAAGGGTTTGAGATAGGAAATAGCAGAGGGGAAATAATGGAGGTATGTCACCTACAATATGCAGATGACACTGTGATATTTTGTGAGCCAAAGGTTGAACAAATAGGTTACATCAGAATGATTTTGACTATTTTTTGAAGCTTCTTCTGGCTTGACAGTTAACTGGGGAAAAACCAGTTTGTTCCCGATAAAAGAGGTGCCAAATATCCAAGATCTGGCAATCATTTTATGGTGCAAAGTTGAAAATATGCCAACTACATACCTTGGTATGCCTCTGGGCAGTGAACACAAAGCAGGGGAAATTTGGGATGGAATATTAGAGAAAACTGAAAAAAGATTGGCTAGGTGGAAGGCACAGTACATATCACTAGGTGGGAGGCTCATCCTTATCAACTCTGTTGTTGATGCACTTCCTACGTATGTAATGTCTCTATTTCCCATACCTCCCAAAGTTGCGAAAAAGCTGGACAGACTTAGGAGGGATTTTCTGTGGCATGGCTGTAAAGAGGGCAAAGGATATAAACTAGTCAATTGGCAGACAACAATGCACAGTAGAGAACAAGGTGGCTTGGGCATCAGAAATCTGAGAGCACAGAACAATAGTTTATTGATGAAATGGCTCTGGAGATACAATAGGGAGGATCATGCATTATGGAGGGAGGTAATTAGACACAAGTTTGGTGAACTCAACCCTTGGTGTACCAATGTGAGCACTGATACTTATGGAGTTGGAGTTTGGAAGACCATTAGAGCTCTATGGCCCAAACTGGAAGGGAACTTGCAGAAGAGAGTTGGAGATGGGAAAAGAATAAAGTTCTGGAAGGATGCTTGGAAGAAGCAAAGCCCATTAATGGAGATTTTTCCAGACCTGTTTATTCTAAGCAACAACCCAGATGGCACCATTTATGATATGTGGAGTGCATAGGGATGGAACTTATTCTTCAGGAGATTGCTAAATGACTGGGAGATCGATAGAGTAGCCGATTTGCTAAATAGGATTGATGATTTCAATGGCACTACTGCTGAACCAGATACATTAAGATGGAAACACAATATTGATGGGCAATTCTCTGTTAAAAGGGTTTATAAAATGGAAGAAAGGGTACAGTGTAGAGGGCAACCAAAAATATGGAGAAACTTATGGAACAGTCCATCCCCAACCAAGGTAAAATGCTTTACTTGGCTGGTGGTTAAAAGAGCATGCCTGACACAAGAAGTTTTGAAGAAGAAAGGGGCCATCATAGTTTCCAGGTGCTTCTTATGCAATGAGACAAATGAAACAAACAGTCATCTATTTTTGCACTGCACCTTTACAGCACAACTTTGATCTCTATTTCTCAACATAACAAAGACAAGCTGGACTATGCCCGAGCATACTGCAGATTTGCTTAGTTGCTGGATGAAAAGAGGAGGCAGCAAAAGTCAAAAGAAGTGGTGGAGGATCATCCCACAATGCATCTGGTGGACAGTTTGGAGAGAGAGAAATGGGAGGTGTTATGAAGATAGATCCAATTCCATCCAGAAAGTTAAATGGAATTGTATAATATCTTTCTACTTTTGGTGTAAAGAAGTAGGTTTAGAGGATATAGATCAGTTTGTAGATTTATTAAGATCTCTGTAAGTATCTTGTTTTTTAGTTGCTGTTTTTTTTTTATCTAACACTTTTTGATGGTGTCCAGCATTAAGGCATGCTGAGGAATACACATTTACCAGTTTTAAAAAAAAAAGGGTTCTCAGGTTCCTATGTTGTAATTGTATTTCTTGGACATTGTATAAGGTGCTAAAAGGTGAAGCAATGTTAATAACTAAAAGCCAACGATACAAAGCAACATCATACCAGATAGGAGGAGGAAGCACGGTATCTGATTGCATAGACATATGGATAAGATCTGAAATGAAGTCAACAGCATTTCTTTTCTGTGAAACATTCCCGGAAATAAGACGCTTGAGAATTTCTCCCAAGCACTGAGTATCTGAGGATCTGGCAAAGCAACAATTGACATTTCTATTTAACCCCGAAAATACATTTGGAAAGCTTAAAACCAGTTTACATTACAATATAAACATACATGGAGCAATACTCAGCCAAAAGCTTTATAACAGCTTTTGCTGCACTGTCTCGTTCATCCAAAAGGTCTAGTAACATTGGCAGTAGAACATTAATCTGTCTAATGTCTGCAGAATGTTTAGACAAACTACTATTTGTCCTAAAGATGACAGCTTTGAAGATGCAGAGTGAACTGTCAATTACTTCATCATCCACACTATTAAGCTTCAATATACAAAAAAATAATGTAAGTTACCAGCATCAGAGAAAAAACCGTAAATTCAACCAAAAAAAAGAGAAAATTACTTATAGTAAATTCAACAACCAGAATTCAGAAATGTTTAATTCAAATACTATAACACCAGAAATATGCTAGTTCTCTGATGGTTAGTCAAGCAACTTGATGCATTTCTCCCGACCGCATAACTAAGAACCATCATCTTACTAAAGAAAGTTACTCCCTCTGTTTCACTTTATTTGTCTGGTTTTGATTTGGCACAAAGTTTAGAAAAGTAAAGAAGACTTTGACTCTTGTGGTCTTAAACTAAAAATATGTAGAATGTACCAAAATGTCCTTTAATCTTGCGGTCTTAAACATGCCATGTGGAAAGTTGAAATTAAAGAGATGCGAATAAAAAGAGGCATTCTTTTTTAAATGGACTATAATGATAAGTAAGACGTGCAAATTGAAACAGAGGGAGTACTTCACCAAAGCAATTGCTCCAGAATCTCCAAGAGATCTTAATCTTTTCACAACCAAAGGCTGCAAACTTTTATATGAGTCATGTAATTCTACCTGAGATATGATAGCTTCAGATAGCCGAGATCCATATTCCTCAATGGTAGTTTCAAACTGCTTTCCATGTAGACGGCCCAACAGAAGGGCAAGGCAATTCAGGAAAAATATGATGGTCTCTCTTCCACTTTCTTTGTTTCTAGGAGACTCTTCAGCATAATTATCTGCATAAAACTGCAAGTTTTTTTCCTTAAATCTGGAGTAAAATAGAGAGGAAGGACATAAGAAAAAGAGAATTCACATACTCTGATATATAAAAAAAAGAGCAACTAAGTCAAGAGTCAGGACACTTAAAAGGAAACTTTTATGTCATGTTTATCTTCTTTGTGTTAGTTCAAGAGTCCTTTTATCAAAGGTGATCACCAAAACAAAAGAAGCACCCATTAAGTAGGCCCAGAACAACTTATCTATGGGCATTCAAACTGTCAATTCAGTTACCAACTGGCTATTCAGCTGGTAAACTGAAATTTCTAGTTCTCCCAATACAAACCATTTAAACTAGTTCAGCTTCCAAACCGAAACTCTTTGATCATATGGTCTTTTGAAATACAGTTTTATCTCACTGAACTTTCAGAACAAATCCAAATTTTAGAACTAGTATGATGCATCAGAATTAAGTAAAAGGAAGAGTCAAACCTCAAACTTGAAAGAAAAAAAGACATTCAGATTCGATTGCAAGCAGCCCTAACCATAAATCTTCAAGCATATAGTAAAAAATCTACCTTCAGAAAGCTAAGAGCAAACCATTCAACCTCAGACTTGAAAGACAGATTCAATTGCAAGCAGTCCTAACCATAAAACTTCAAGCATATAACAAAAAATCTAACCTTCAGGAGGTCAGAGCAAACCCTCACCACCAGAATGTTATGGTTGTAGGTGTAATCACTATTTAGATGATTATGAGAGACAAAGTAAGGAAGGGAAATTCCAACTGCTAGATATTCTGGAGAGATGGAGATAGAGAGGCAAAAGTAGCGAAGTAGTGGTACTGACAGGCAAAGAGACAATGAATTTGGAGAAGACATGTCAGAGAATGAGAGTAGCTTACGGCACACATTTATGAGTTAAAACTATAGTTTGAAAAGGATGAAAAAAGTTGCTACAAAGATGGAATATATGTGACTGAGGTGGCATGACCAGGTTAAATCTTAATTCATAAATATGTTGACTACTGATGACCAAAAACCTACTTCACTACTTGGAAAAATGTCTGCTAAAATGTTGCACTAGCTTCCTTTTTTTAAAATGGACTAGTCTTGTATTTTTTGTTGAATAAATTGAGAGCTTGGAGAATCTATAAATGAATAGACTTTCCAGAAATTCAGTTTCTTCAAATACATGAATCATCACAACAACAAAAGTACTACTGAGTCAGTTTGCCAGTCTCTTGTGTTTAAACTGAGTAAAGAAGTCCTAAATGTCCCACATATTTCAGTGGCAGATTGAAGTTATACTCTAGACAAGTTTTTACAAACTGGCAACTTTGTCCTCCAAAACTATTTAAGATAGGACATCTGTAAATTAATACTCAACAATCCAAGTCTTCTAGATAAATCTATTTTTTTGAAATTAAGTCTTCTAGATAAATTTATTCATCAAGTGAATAGGACATTTTCTTTATTTTATTTTATTTTTTACAATGGTGGCGTCCGGACCAACTTACACACACCTCGACTATTACACTGAGTGTCTGCTACCTCCCACCAGCACTCGTACCTGGTAACTTTGTCCACCAAGGCTTAGATGGGAAGAAATCCCTATATTTTTTGTTTGTGTTGGGATTTGAACTCTAGTCTCCAAGGCTTCACCCACTTCATCAACTGTTAGGCCACACCGTTGGGTGTTGAATAGGCCATAATTTCAACCACTAGAATTATTTAAAACCCATTTCAACAAAAAAAAAAAAAGAAGCAACAATTTAGAACAAAAACAATGAAATGCCTATACACTAAACACTGAAATATATAAATGTTTAGGCCAAAGAGACCAAATGCAAGAGGAAAGAATGAAAGGCAAAGGACTTCATGTGGTGATAGTATAGCAAACCTGAATCCCGGATAAGTACTGCTCCAATAATTCTGTATATTGCTGAGGGAATTTGTTATCTTCCAAGTGCAACAACATGCCATAATGTTTCCAACAAGAGGAGAGAAGTAACACCCCTCTCTTCAGCATTTCTGAATCTGTCTAAAGTAATGATACATGGCGCATGATGAACAAAACAAAAGTGCTATAATAGATGATCTAGAAACTGAAAAGGATGAAAACTGTAAAACCTGCCTTGGTTTGTTCGTGAATATAATTTTCCTGCATCCCCCGCAACCACTTACAAACTCTCTCTAATGCCTTTGCATGCAAAGGCCTGCATTTTCTGCTCCACTGCATGTCAACAACTCTATATGTGAAAATTGAAGCATTTGACAAGTGGCTTTTTAGATTTCCCACTTCTCAACAAGGTCAAGAAAATAATCTATAAGAAACATTACAGCAATTACATTTATTATCTATCAAGATATCTATAATCACATCGTAGTGCGTTCTGATTTACCAGATTTAAGCAAGAAATATTTTGCACATAGAACTTTTCATCTGACCAACTATTTAGTCTGACAGAAACAGATTTTTTACTCACAGAACCTGGGTACCAACAAAAATTGACATCAATTGGTTACACCAAATTTTTTTCAAAAATATTGTAAAATACTTGACTCATAGATTACTGAGAACTGGCTGGACAGAGAAGTAGAAACCAAAATTTCGTTTTTTTAAGTTTTGGATGAACATGGAATGAGAGACGTACTTATTTGAGATTATAACTAATCCTTAATCAGAAATAGGTACACTAGAAGATGTTTTGCCAGTAAGTTTTTAATATATATATATATATATATATATATATATATATATATATATATCTCTTTCCCTCTCTCTGTCCTCCGATGTATATCTTAGCTGCATTTATTAGGCATTTGGACAATACTTGGTTGAAGTTAAAAAAGAAAAGAGCATTTGCAGTTGAATTTGGAAATGAATTTAATTGGAAAAAAGTTGAAGCTGAAATGATGGATCAAATCATAGAACATACGTTGATTTGCAAATAATATTTCAAGTTTAAGTTGAAAAAATGAAATAAAATTCATGGCCAAACTGGATAGTAAAGGATATTCAAATCTGACATCTAATGAAGTAGCACTGACTAGATAAAACAAGTTATGGAACATACAGCTGTAAGTCTCTCTACAAGAATTATGAGGTTATCCAAATGGTCCCAAAGTAGCAACTTCATTTCCATGCCTTCATAATCTGAGGATTTACTGATGTTGTTCACTTTCTTCTTAGTCGGTGTAGAAGGTAACAACATGACCGGGAGATTTCTTTCACCAGTAGCAGCTGCCTTACGCTTGTCATCTGAGCAGTTGAACACTGAATTAGTTCTTGCTAATGCCTCTGTAAGAGACAGAACTAGATCAGCAGCAGCCACTGAAAGGCGAGTTGGCAACTCAAATTCCCCCTGCACTGTGCTACAAATTTGAAAGAAGCAAACTTAGGCATGTGCCTTTGTTAAAAATGTAAAGTAGGTCAACAAAAATGCATCTGGTGGACAGTTTGGAGAGAGAGAAATGGGAGGTGTTATGAAGATAGATCCAATTCCATCCAGAAAGTTAAATGGAATTGTATAATATCTTTCTACTTTTGGTGTAAAGAAGTAGGTTTAGAGGATATAGATCAGTTTGTAGATTTATTAAGATCTCTGTAAGTATCTTGCTTTCTAGTTGCTGTTTTTTTTTTTTTATCTAACACTTTTTGATGGTGTCCAGCATGTCCTTAATGCTGAGGAATACACATTTACCAGTTTAAAAAAAAATTAAAAAAAATACTGTGTGTTTCAGAAGCACAGTCTAAGCTCCCTCAAGTGGTTGTGGAAATATAGCTTCCGACAGCAAAAGTTGAATGAAGTTACCCAGAAACAATTCAATTTTCCCCTAGTTAAAATATACATGCATTTTTCTTTATTTGGGTTTTCGAGGATAGGTATGCATTCTCAAATTATGACATTTCTCAAACAACTCAAAGTTACACAATAAGACTGCCATCCAGAATTTTTTTGTAGTTCTGCCTTATACTCCTATATATATAAAAAAAACTTTGACATGAGCTTTATATCATGCATCGACCATAAAGTTTAGAGCTAACACAAGTTTAAAAGGTATGTGAGGCACTACACTCTTTTGTTTGGTAGAAGAAAGATTTTCAAATTCAGTTTTTTTTTCCATAATCATAGTTTCTGGGCCAGCTTGCGCGCACCTAGATTAATTCATGGGGCACGCTACCTCCCATTCAGTTTTCAATAGTAGCAATGAGATTTTTTTACTTTTCTGTAAACGTTAGCAACATTGAGCAACCAGTAACAGATGAGCATCTAATAAAAAGGAAAAGAGGAAATGACAGGCAACATGAAAGGAAGAAAGAAAGGAAATACACACACCTTCCGTCATATACAATAGACACAAGATGGGACATACATGTGCAGAAAATCTTCAGAAGTGCATCGTATCTACATCGAACCCCTGTATTAAAAACAAAAAACTCTGTAAACTAAAATTAACAAGCTTAAAAATTATCTGCTCAGACAGTGGGCAACAGGTTCCAATGGACCACAGAGCAATAGGATACTCCCATTCTCCATTCCCACAGAGCAAATAAGACCTCAATGATATCCCAATTTCATTGACTTAGTTTGATCGGGTGCAGCTACGATAGAACTGATAATTGATGTAAATTTCTACTATGTGTACCCAGAAAGGGGCAATATGATAAGTTTGAAAGTTCTTACAAATAAGCGTGATTTGTCACCTTATGAAGATTTCAAGGGAGCACAAAAAGGAAAGAACTTCATTTTGAGGGAACCTGAAACATTTTGGGGTGGCCACAGAAGGAACTTCAGGTGTGTTTTGAAAGCCCCATGGGAATTGAACGAGTGTATTAGTGTAATTAAGAATAATTACACAGTTTGACTTGTTTGTCACTTTGTCTGGCCAAGTAATAATTTGGCTAGTGCTGAATTGACTGTAATTGAAGGAGTGCAATTACACTCCCAACATTCAAGGAGGGTTAAGAATTTGTGGTAATTATATTCAAAAGCTTCAGATTTCATTCCATTTATCAAACATAAATTACTTGAAACTTTGCTTATTTCTTTGTTAAACATACTCCTACTCTATTCATCAGAGGAAACATTTCATATTGAAAAATGCTTTCACATCTCATTTATATATCCTATTATCATTTTAAAAACAAAAAAGAATCTTGAATTTAAGATTACATTCACGTCAATTAGTTGAAAATTTTAAAATTGTACAACAACAATATACCCGGTGTATCTCACAAGTGGGGTCTGAGGAGGGTGGTGTGTATGCAGCCTTACCCCTACCTTACTAATTAGTTGAAAATTTTAAATTTGTAATTGAGGTACCAGGTTCATTGCTGATCTTCTGATGAACTGTACCTCAATCATGTTGTCAATCATAAACCCTTCCTTGTCATTTGCTTGAGGTACTTGGTTCATTGATACTTCTCTTCTTGATCTGCACATCATCTTCATCTTCTAGAGAACCAGTTCTTTCACCTAGGTTCTTAAGAAGTTTATAATTCAATTTGTAGCCATATATCTGTGTGGATCTTGGGTATTGTCTTTTGTAGGCTCTTCTGTCTTTCCACACTCTTCTTCCCTTCTTGTATTTAACTTTCCCTGGATTTTGACAATTTTAGAACCAGACTGTTGTCATCTCTGTGCTCAGGTCATCAGAGAACCAGGTTCCTTAGTTCTGCAGTACCTTGGAACCTGCTTCTTCCATCATATTTTTGTGGCACTCTTCATCTGCTGGTCTTCTCATCTTCAACACATGGGAGTGGGATTCTTCAAAGCTTTTATGTATCCCACACTCCCTCTTCATGAGCTTTCAGAAGGAGGAAATATTACTCTTTTCTTTGTCATGCGATAAGACCTCTACACATACTCTTGCTTCGTCCTACCTTGGTCTTCCATTTCGACTCAGAGAGGAGTTCCATTCCCTAGTTTTCTGTGTGTTTTAGGACTCTTCTATTGGTTCTTCAGAGGAGATATGATATCAGTTTTGTCAACTCTCTTGCGCCGCCCACCTCCCTTCCAAGAAAAGGTTGTACAAGCCTCCTCCCTTCCAAGAACCAGGTTCCCAGCAACAGTATACAGTATCTGGGATGACAGATCAAGGCTCCTTTGTTGTGATCCTGTGATATATCTTTGTCAAGATTCATTAATTTTTGCTCCATGGGAGTGGGATAGTTTTATTCAGAACACATCCCATAATCCTTCTGTACTAGGCTTAAGTGAGGATTTTTTTCTCCCTACTACTTGACATGTGTCTAATTCATTCACATATGTTCTAGCTTCCTCTCATTATAGCCCTTTTAACCGGATCAAATGTTGTATCTAGGAACCCAGGATGCTTGGATTGCTTTGTCCAGAAAAGGGATAGGTTGAATGCCTTCAAGTCCATCCTGATAGATTTGCATTTATTAGGGAAGGACCTAGTTCCTTTGATGCCTCTTTTACAACAAAATTGTATGTTCCTATCAATTGCTCTTAATTTGGCTATGCATGTGTCCTTGAAATGTCCATTGTTTCCACAGTTAGTGTGTAGTCGATTATATGGGATAGAGACATATATACTCTTGAGATTGTATGGGGTCTTTCTCTTTTTGTATCCAAATCCTTGTATGTGTTGCAGTGGTTTTCAAGTAGAGATATTAGTGCTTCTGAGGACCTGTTCCATCCAAGTGCTCTCTTCACTTCATTTGTAGCCCTTTCTAATTCTTCTTGAAGAACCATGTTCCTTTCATTCTCTATGGAAATTTGTTTTGACAATTCCTCGCATTTTTTCAAGATTCTCTTGAATATCTTCAACCTAATCATTCCCCTTTGTAGATGCAGCTAGGAGTTTATCTTTCTAAGCTTCTAACCCATGGTATCCTTTGCTCAGAACGATGTTCTTGAGGTACTCATTCATATTTTCCAAGTTCTCTTTACACTCTCCCAAGTTTTTGATTTCCATCTCAAGGGTGACATACGTATTCATCCAGTTTTTCTTTTCAATGTGTAGACTTTTGAAGGTATTAATGTCAATGTGAGTCACGCACTCTAGTTTTTTTCCTGGAATAGATGTGAATAACATCCTTCATTTCAGTAAAGTTTGTATCAATGTTATCATCCTCGTCTTCAGAGTCAAATTGTGCCATTACTGTCATGCTTTCTTCGAAGTCTGATTTTTCCTTGTTTGCCATGAACCGTCTATCTTTTCCCTTCTCAGCATAGGTTCTTGGGCTTTCTTCATAGTTAGATTGAAGAGTATCCCATATTTGATTTGTAGTGCTGCAAGAAAGGATTTTATCCTGTACATTGGGTCCAATACCCTATAGAAGAATCTTCCTGGCTTGGGTATCTCCCTGTATTTGTTTAATCTCCTCCTTCGCATACTACTTTACTCAGCCCTAACTCGAGCAACTTTTAAGGCTACAACTTTTTGTAGACAGACCTAAGGAACTGACTCTAGCAGCCCCTATCCCAAGGCCCAAACTAGGTAAACTGGTCATATAGCTTGCTTAACACAAAGTTTAGCCGTCTTTCTCCTTTCAATTACTTCGTAGCGTAAGCGAGCATAGAGGAACAAACAGAGCCTCTCTCAGAGCCTCTCTCGTAGCACAGTAAGGTGACGAAGTAGCTGCACTGGATAGAGGTCGCTAAGATAGTTGGTAAGAATCACTATTGCAAACCTATCAAAGCCTATGCTACTTATTTTGTCTCAAAAAAAAAAAAAAGCCTACACTACTTATTGATTATCAAAAATTCAATCCCCTGGCCCTTCCCACCTCGGACTGCCCCCTACCCTAATATAAGACAATTCCCACCCTCAAGTTAGGTACCAGAGCTAATTGCATTCGAGAAAATAGAAGATTTTAGCCTGAATCTTGGACCCAATTCATGCTTGAAAACAACAATTCTTCTTCCAATTTCATACATAAAATTGTTTATGTGAAGAAATTTGAGAAAGACAATGTAGTCAATATCTTGATCTCCTTGTGAATCTTCCAAGATGTTATGGAATATTCAAGATGCCTCCAAAGAGAATATTTAGCCCTTTTATATAGGCATGAATTAGGGTTTTAGGGTAGCCTCCAAGTAATCCTAATGGACCCTTGGGCTTGGTTTCCTCAGGCCGGACAGAGACTGGTCCTCAAGTGCAAAGGCAGAAGGGAGCTTAACTGCAAGACCCACCAGTTGAGCAGGGACGAAAGTCGGCCTTACTGATCCGACAGTGCCAAGTGGCCAATTGTTGGGCTTTTGGGGTCAAAGAATCTTAAGAACTGCCTCTCTTACTTTCATCTTTGGTTGATGAATTAAGACTGCCCCTCTATCTCAATGAAAGCCCGAGGGAATATGAAAGCTATTCACCAGATCTTAGAAACAAGGCACAAAACCCAATGATCTGAGCTCCTTTTGCTTCAACCCATGAATCTTTTTAACCATTAATCTTTGTCTTAACCAAAAGGAATTCTCTTTTTCTAGTATTATTTCCTACTATACAGGAAGAATGTTGCAAGAGGTTACTAATCATGTTATTCCTGGTCTTCCCTCATCTTCATCTTCAACGATAAAGCAGTTTAAGGAGTGCCCTTCGCACCTTACTTCTTTTAGCCTTTGTGCCCCATCCCCCAATGGTGCATTCACTCCCACCCTTAGGTATCATTTGGTAGAGTGTCTAAGAATAGGACTGAATAGGGTTTATTAGTAATGTTGGGATTAGTTATGCTTGAACTATTTCCTATCCATTATTGGTTTGGTGTATTAAGGCCAGTTCTATCTTTACCCATGCTTATTGATGTGTTAATAACTTGTGTGTTGCTAATACCATGGTTTGCTATGCATTAGTTATACACCCTATAATAGTATTATAGGGTGTATAACTAATACATGTACTAGTTATACATAGACTAAAAATCCTATCAAAAAAGGATTAAATAATACCATAACTAATACATGTATTAAATTCTCTAATACATCCTACCAAATGACCCCTAAGAGTTATTGCTTCAAGTAAATTTGCCTTGCTAATGCTAGCTTGCCCTCTATTATAACTATACAGAGGGGGGAAGAAGCACTGCTTATGGTCATTACTGTGTTAGATCAACTACTTCAATTGAGAATTCTGGTAAGTTTGATCCTCGGGTAAGGTAGCTGCCAAGGAATGAAACAAATACTTAAGGATGTTTTGAATACCACTTCTCCCCCTGAAACAATTGTAGCTTTTAATACAAGCTATTTCTTTTACACTTGAAGACAGAAACCGCTAAGAAGTCAGCTCAAACTTTTGAAGTGCACTGAGAGCATAAAGGGTCCTCGAGACATATAGTCAAAAGAAAAAACAAACAGCTACATAAGTAACAGACTTGAACCAGCGTTGCAACTTGATTAAATGTAAGCATACAGTACAACCATTACCAGCATAATTTTACAGTCAACTTAATTTGGAAATTGGCATTTGGATTTCTCTTGCAGAAAGGGTCATGAGAAATTACAGATCAGCGAAAGATGTGGATCGCATATGTATACTCCAATTTAAAATGAAAGACAAATGCTGTGGGGTTCAAACAGAAACAGAATTTAGAAAGCTCTACTTACCACGTGTAACGAGCTTGTCCATAGTAACCTCAAATTCAATAAGACTTCGTGCAAGGGTACACCAACCAAGGGATATATAACGATCCTCTTTCCTTGATAAAATGGATTTTAGATCATTTGCTAGAGCCTGGAAACTTATTTCGTCCTCAAAAAGCCAATTGAGAAGTATCATCACTTGGTTGCCATGTTTTGACCCCGTGAATCTCAATGACTGGCAAAAGTTTTATCAATGATGATTAAAAAAGCAGCAGCAGGAACAGGTAAAAATACATGTAACAGGCTTTTGAGCCCAAAAATAGAAAAGCATGAGCATATGCTAATAGTTGATGACAAATGCTAGAACATAAGCTAGGAAAAGAGAACAGGCCATTAGTTAAGAATTTAAGCTGAGCAATTTTTTATTCACCTCCATCTCCGAAGCCTTTTCCATGTACAACAAAAGTAGTTCTATGGTAACAACATTCTCTCAATAGAACAAAAAAAGTCATGTGATAAACCAAAAATGTTAAGTGGTTTTGTGGCTCACGCACATGATGCAGTGTGGATATTTCAAGCATTTCATGAATGATGTTAGTCACTCAAGACTAACTTAATGCACATGGGCACTAAAGCAGCTAACCCATCTTACATAGTCATGATGAGAAATAATATTGACCTTTAACTTCTGCAAGAAAGAGCTTCTTGCTGATTATTCACGGTAAACACTCCATTACTGTGTAGTGTGTACAAATTTGAAATTAAGTCCTAATTGAACGCTCCGTCTTCCCCTAATTTCTATAACAGTTAACTTTTTCAGAATATTCCAAAATGTTTGAAACCATTCTGTAACACCATTTCACTATTTTCAAGAATTTAAATTGAAATTTATTCAAATTTCAAAATTCCAAACTTTGATGTAATATTTTTTCTATCAAACTAACTTTTCAATTATTACTTACTTTTTCTTCAACTAACATCCATCCATTCACAAACCATCATATAGACCGGGAAGTAGGGAGTACATATACTCTTTTATCCCATAATTTTTATCATTTAGCTTTAACAAGAGTCGAGGCTGAAAATGATGGACCAATGTTAAATGCTCCAACATGGGTAGACTTTAATATGCTCAACTCTTGAAACGCTAAAGTGACAAATATGACAGGAAGATGGGAGTATTAAACTAATCAATATCAAAGAGATTCAAGTTTTTTCCCTTTTCTTAATATACAACATCCTGGGAACAGGTTCACAATAAACCCTTCATTTTATGGACTAAATTGAAGTTAAACCCTATAAAACAATTTATTAGGGAAACCTGAAAACTTCAACAAACAAAAAGAGCTGTTTGGTTCTTACATGTTGAATCATAGGAACAAGAACTTGGTCCAAATACGACTCCTTTTCAGCAGCATCCTTCACATACTTGGAAAGGAACCATAAAGACTGTACCAAAGAAACTGGCAAAAAAATATAAAAAAAAAATTCATCTGGAGAACCAAAACTCGATCAATTAGAACGTACAAGTTAGAACTTACCACCAATAGGTGCGATTTTTGGAGAAGGTTCAAGATGAGAAATGGTTTCCTGAAGCTTCTTAGGCTTACAAGTAAGCAATGTGTTCATAACACGACCCAGAGTTGCAGAAGTCATTGAATTCGACTCTGACACTTGTTGTCTTTGTTCATCTTCTTCCATTGCTAGGGTTGAATTCACAAGTGATTGGAACCCTTTGCTTGGAGAATTCAATGAGTTGTTGGACAAATTATACAGAAGCCAACGGAATGGGTGAAATAATAATAAATTGTAAAGCACTAGGGACGGGTGTTATTAATGTATATAAAATGAAACCTGAGGAGAGTTTAATGTTAATTATATTTAAATTAGTCACTCCTTTTTTATTTTTGTTCAAATGTCTCATTCTGTAAAAGTAAAAAAATACTCATATTACTAGGGACGGGGTGTTATTAATGTATATAAAATGAAACCTGAGGAGAGTTTAATGTTAATTATATTTAAATTAGTCACTCCTTTTTTATTTTTGTTCAAATGTCTCATTCTGTAAAAGTAAAAAAATACTCATATTACTAAAATCAATTCTAAAATCATACTTATTTAATGTGTATTTATTTAATTTTTCCTTCCAAATAATTTTAATCTTATTTTTGGAATTAGATTTTTTTTAATGTCATACAAATCATGTCTTACTCTTCTTCAATCGAATAAGAACCAAAAATGAAACTAACTCTTCTTTTGGTAAAAAAAAGTTATACATATCTCAAACAAATAGTAGGAACTGAGTTTCTTATTACTTAGTAATCTCTTAGGGTTTGTTTGGAAAGTCACCCTGGTTATTGGATTTGGTCTAATTTGGTGTAATTACACTATCTGACATATTTGGTTGATCATGTAATTACTTGGTCAGCATGTAATTAACAAGGGTAATTACACTCTCCACTTCACAGACAACAACTGTGAATTGCTGGTAATTACATGATGTAATAACAAGTTGATTACCTTTTTAATTTTTTTATTTCTATTTTTATTTTTTTGTTTAAATTTATTTTTATTTCTATTATTTTAAATTCTTTTTTATTTTTATTATTCTAAAATTTTATATAAAAAAAATAATAATAATATATATATATATATATATATATATATATATATATATATATTATTTATATTTCATTTCCTTCTCATTCTCAACCTTTACTTCTTGCGATTTTTCGTATTATCTATTTTATTGATTTATTCTATGTTTATTTTTTTCATTAACATAATTTGGTTAGTATTCTAGTTTTTAAATCAAAATGGAATTCATTGTTGAATAAGGTTATAGGTTTACGTTTTCCTTTTCTTTTAAATCATATTTATGTACATTATGTTGAAATTTGACATAAGAGTATTATATTATTATTTTTCTTTTGAATCTAAAACTTATGTTATATTTTCAGTTTCATTTGTTTTAGTAGTGGTGATTTGATATTTCACATTGCAAGCCATTTATTTTTTAGTTAGACTTGATAGATTATATTTTTGTCAAATATTTTCATAATTTGTGATTTTATATTTATGATATTAATCTTTTTGTCAAACATGTATTTTATGATGTTCATAGAAATTTTGTAATATTAGTTTTTATTATTATTTTAATTAAAATATACTAATTTAAAAAATATAAATTAATTTTTTTAAATAATATTAGTTAAGAACATATGTTTGTTGATTAATATATATTTAATAGACAACACTTATCTTAAATATATTTAATTTAGTATCATTTATAACCTTATGATTACACTTGTGCAACCAAACAGTACATTTGTAATTTACTGTGACAAACAAACAAGTCAGCATAATTACTAGGTTGTGTAATTACTAGGCTGGTAATTACCACCCTAGTAATTACACCAATTTCAATTACCAGGGCTTTCCAAGCAGACCCTTAAGGACATGATTAAGATTTTCTCGTTTCAACTAATCCTCCCATTCCATCACCAAACAAAATTTTCAAAAGAATTTTTAAAAAGAGGTTTATTATTAGATTCCTCAATCATGAGAAGAAAAAAGAAAAAGAAAGAAGTGAGATAAATTAATTTTAAAAAAAACGAATTCTTCTAGCTCTAACTTTATGCTGCCAAAACACTAAATTTTTGCCTACTTTTTTCGATTGCAATGGCCACCACGGGTACTAGCCAGACTCCCACGGAGGTTGGTCAACCATTAACAAGTCTGTCTACCATGACATATGCGAATATTGTTAAATTCATGCCCGCAAACATCAAACCAATTCATTAAAATTTATATCATAGCTTTATGGAGAACCTAGAGTAATCTGGAAACATGAAAAAGTCAAACAATGATCGTGAACGGGATCTTACTATATGCAGTGATTGAAAATATTTTCTAATGATGGTTGGACATTCAAGATCTTTAATGATTAATCTCAAAGCAATTGGAGTTAAAGGGAGAATGCAACATAGAATTACTTACCAACAAGCATGTACTGATTATGTAACGACCCCTTTTGGTCGTTATGGGTAAACCATTGGTTCATGAGTGGTTGGGTTTGTGTTTAAATGTTGGGATGGTTCTTCTGTAGACCAGATTTGTATGTTAAACATTGTGGATGATGTTTTAGGGATCTTTGATGGTATGAGTTACTTGAAAGGTGTGATGAATAAGGTATGGCTTGTTGTGTTGAGGTTGTTCATGTTAATTATGCATATCAACTCAGAGTGAGGACTGAGAGTCAGAGCTATGTTATACATGTAATTATAATTGTATGTTATCTGTTTTGCTAAGTTGTGGTTACTAGATTAGGTGGATGACTGGGGTCTGATGCATAGTTTAAATGTTGAAATTTATTATGGTTGTTTAGTGTTTAGAACATATATGATAAGAGGGATTTGATTCAAGGTGATTTAGTAAGAGTCTTACATGTGGTTTACTAAAATGAGTCAAGGGTTAGGGTGTTGGCATGAGAATTTGAGGAAGAGTAGTAGATTGGTTAACAAAATTGGTTATGGTCTTGTATTCGAAAAATCTATATGTGATAGAAGGGTTAGGTTATGATCTAATATGAGGATGACATAACATGTAGGCTTGGGAAGTTATAGGTGGCATAAAAGGTTAGATTGGGAAGCCATAAAGTGGCAAGAGGGTCGACTGTTTAAATATTAGTGTTGGCAGTGAAATGAGGTAGGAAGTTGGAATAAAAGTGTATTAGTTTATGAGTATTATACCTGGGATGGTAAAAGCATATGGATAAAGACTTGGGGTGGTGTAACCTTCATATTGCATGTTTTTTTCTTAATGTCTACTTCATATTATCTGGTAGATTCGGATCAATCGATGATGTCTATCAATACGTGTTATTTGTACTGATACTACTCTTGCTAATTCACTTGGCATAGGTTGGTTGCAGAAATCAGTGATGTTTCATAGGTGAAGATGATGATGATCTCCGACAATTTCTATTCTTATTCCCTTGTGGTTGAAGTTGTGTCTTATTTTATTCATATGTTATTCTATCTTAGAAGCTCTTATACCTGTATAGACTAATTCCTAGAGAGGAATTTAGATATTGTCACGACCAAAAGTACACCCTAGACGTGACATGGGGTATAACACCCCAAGAGACCCTACACAAACCACTTAGCATACATAATACAAGATAATAAAAGTTAAGAGTTTAAAAGATAACATTTCGTACAAAAGAGTTTGACAAAAGCAGAAGACTAAAACATAAGTCTCAAAGCCGCCATCTATTACATCAAAGAAGTGATTGGGACGTAACTCATACATCACATACAACATTCGAAATGAAAATGACATAAAAGCAATAAGAGAGTCTCGGTCCTCGAAACATGAGGACTCACCAATCTTCAAAGTTTCTAATACAATCAACTTGCCACGAACAAAGGGAAAAGAGTCATCAAGCCCTACATGAATGAAATAATGTAGGCACAAGTATGCATTAGTACATGGAACGTACTAAGTATGAGGGGAATGCAATAAAATATGAGACGTAACCGTAAGGGGACATAATCGAAAACATGAAATGCATGACCAAGTAAAAACATAGTAAAATCATTTAGAAGATTCATAATTTATGAACATGGTCAATTCATCTTTAAATCATAAAGGAAGCTTCATAAAACATTAATAATTAACTTAGTTCATTTTGTGGAAAGTTTTCCATTAACTGATATAGACCATGCGAGCTATAACATGAAATCCAGTGTCTGCCCACACCGAAAAGGGGTGTCCTTACTTGCCAAGGTAAGAACCATAATCTTAGGCTAAGGTGGATCCACTAGCTAGTGTATATATGAGACAATCATCCTATGGTGACACATAGTTATGGGACATGGGTAATTGACGCTAGTCCACTCGGTGCTAAACATAAATCCCACGGAATAGTCATTAATCATATTCATTTTTATCATCCATGGATAAGTACAATTTATATACTAATCCAAGCTAGAAACATCATAGGGTAGCTCCTCAGGCCATGAGTGAGAAAACCTTTCACCATCCATGATCTTTTCATAATAGATTTTTAAGGCCCATATTCATTAACTTCATGCTAGAAATGCATAATACTAATGGAAATAGTTTTGAAAGTGTGATCTATAATCATTGATGGCATATCTGAATATCATACTAATCAAGACCTAATTTAGGAAAGTAGCCCAAAAGCATTGAGGGAAAATCTAGATGACATTCATGTCATGTGACCAAGCTTCATAGATCATAAATAGATACCTTCTTCTATAAGCTTACAAGTCATATAGATTGATTTCATGAAAATAGGCATGATTTCATAAAAATACATTTATAGATTCAAGCTTCTTCATAAATTCATGTAAGTTAGGGTTCATAGTCAAAATTCATAGATCAATGCATGGATTCACATGGAATTAATTGAAAAGAAAGTAATTAAGTACAAATCATCAAAATAAGATTATAATAAGGCAATTGAATCCATACAAGTAGAACCCATGAAGAATTGAATGAAAACCTAATTAATTTTGGGAAATTGAATTGGAGAATTGAAGAAACTTTGGGGACTCAATGGGTGATTGGAACCAATTGATGAACTCCCTACATACCTTGATTGAAGTCCTAATCAATGATGAAGAAAGGAGACTTGAACTTGAAGAACCCTAGCTTCTTCTTCCTTGATCTAGAGAGAAGATTTT